GCACCATGTTTATGTACTAACATGCATGTCTGTGCCGTCACGCGCCATGTTTATGTACTAACATGCATGTCTGTGCCGTCACGCGCCATGTTTATGTACTAACATGCATGTCTGTGCTGTCACGCGCCATGTTTATGTACTAACGTGCATGTCTGTGCCGTCACGCGCCATGTTTATGTACTAACATGCATGTCTGTACCGTCACGCACCATGTTTATGTACAGTCACTTTCTTGTAGTGTTACCAGCAGCACAGGTCATAATAGCACAGAGTGAATAAAGGGATTTTCTCCTTTTACTGTAAGCCTTCATTCAGTTTCTGGTAACTCCTCTCCTTCCCCTCTGAATCACCATTTTTCTAAATGGCTTTCTTGGGTGCTAGGGTGCAATTAAGTTTCCCATGTAGGGGAAACCAGGAAGCTGTATTACAATGAAACCCCAAATTTTTAAACAGCTGATGGTCTGGTGGGCAAGCTGTCTGACTGTCAGACTGAAACTAGTTCAGAATGTTTAGGTCAGCTGGCTGCTGTAACTCCAAATCACTTCAGTCAATACAGTGGTGGAACAACTGTGCACTGGGATCTGGGGCAAAAATGGACCATGCCCCCCCTCCAAATTCATACCTAGTTCCTGCCCATGGCAGTTGCAGTTGATGAAATTCGTCTCCAAAAACCTTACCCATCATGCACTACACTACTTAGTAAATTTCATGCCTCGACAACATAATTTGACTACAAAACAAACTATTACTTTTCAGAATCGTTTCAAATTTTGTAACATCTAAAAAATATATATGTGTGTGTGTGTGTGTTGAGTCCCACCATGAGACCATATACATATGGGTGAGAGATATAAAAAATTAGCATGTCACAACTTTATGGAACATGAATGATATCAGTGCCTTAATCCACAGGGGGGATTTTGCATATATGTGACATTTTTTCTGTTAGACGAGTGCCCTCACCCTCACTGGGGTTGCCCGGGCCCTGGGCCAGCTGCCCACCAGTCCGTATTCTGTGGTCTTAAAGCTTAGAACAAAAATATGTATGTGTTTTTAAAGCCATGTGATTTGTGGGGCAGCTCGGGTCGGTGTAATTTACAATTTGTCAGAGAGCACTACTGCCACCCTTTTTGAAGTACTCTCCAGTTACGGCAGCTTTTGTAATTTCGTCTGAACTGAGCAGGGCTGTTTTCAGTCGCGGAGTCTATAATTATCTTCTCTTTCTGCGAGCGGGACAGGAAGGAAGAGCCACAACTTAAACGTGCTACTTTGAAAGCTGTTTACTCGCTCTCTCCCTCCGACACCACATGCAGCGTTGCTCACTCAAAAAGCCCTCTGTTCTGCCATGTCCAGCAGATGAGCTTGCCCTCACGCGGCATGGGTTTAGCCATTATATGAGTATCCCAGCATATTTGTTTGTTATCGATCAACAGGTTTGTTGATGTTGTTTTTTCAAATACAGCTGCATTTTCCTTAACCTGCTCTGTTGCCGAAAATACAGAATCATCATTCCTCATATCTCTGGCCTGCGTTCTGTCTTTACTGAGGTGTTTCTCTGCCATTTGGATAATTGTTATTACTGAATGGCATCTACAACAAAATGTATTTTCAGCTTAAAATCTTGCAGCAAAATTTTCTCTAAATTAAACAGTACTCTCATTCTGATGATCTATAAAGTGCTGTATAATATACTCTTTAGATTTATTTATCTCCAGAGTGTTTTCGTCTTTTAAAAATAAAATCACAATGAAACCTTGTGTTGTTCTAGTCACCCTGGCAGCCCCAGAATCTGGACAGATGTGGCTTGACACTGCGACCACCAGCTTCAGCCTTCACGTCTCAGCTTCCAACTCAGCAGGAGAAGGTCCAGAGGGGGAGGGGGTCAACTGCTGGTTCCCACCCTCCCCAGAAGCTCAGATTGGAGGTCAGAGGCAATAACCACCTGCCTTCATTTTACATCTAATATCTTAAAGAGACATACAGTACCACTCAAATGTTTAGGGGTGGGGGTGCAGCTCTGTGGGTTGGACTCAGAAGGTTGCCAGTTCAAATCCCTGGGTTGGCTGAGTGATGCCACCATTGGGCCCTCGAGCAAGGTGCTTAACCCCAATTGGTCCAGAGACTGGCTGACCCTCCTGTCTCCTCCATGCCAGTTCCATGAGGTGGCCTCCTGGGATGCTTTTCCAGCTGTCCTGAAGGAGGTACCACATATATGCTGATTATTCATTGGCTGCTTTTCCTTCACTCTCTCATTTTTTTGGTGGCTATCGGGTCTAGCTATGTGGATGACTTTGTACTTTTACCTAGAAACCTATTCATTTATATTTCCAACTTATTCCTGGAATTGTTAGTTGACGTTATGGTGCTGACAAATTTGCTCTTCAGTGTGAAGAGAAATATGTTTTAACTCTCTATTGGTCAATCTGTATACACATTTATTTATTTAGCAGATGCTTTTGTTCAAGGTGATGTACAAATGAGCCAGATATTGTCACAGAAGGTGATGTACAAATGAGCCAGATATTGTCACAGAAGGTGATGTACAAATGAGCCAGATATTATCACAGAACGTGATGTA